TGTGCCCAGGTGTGCCCAGGTGTGTCTCTCACCTCAGTTTCGGGTCCTTTTTGAGCAGCCCGGCCAGCAGGGAGCGGCTCTCGGGCCCCAGGGAGCGGGGGAACCTGAGCTCCTCGAGCAGGATGAGCTCGAAGAGGCGCTCGTGGTCCTGTACAGGTGTGTGTGTACCTGTGCCCAGGTGTGCCCAGGTGTGCCCAGGTGTGTCTCTCACCTCTGTTTCGGGTCCTTTTTGAGCAGCCCGGCCAGCAGGGAGCGGCTCTCGGGCCCCAGGGAGCGGGGGAACCTGAGCTCCTCGAGCAGGATGAGCTCGAAGAGGCGCTCGTGGTCCTGTACAGGTGTGTGTGTACCTGTGCCCAGGTGTGCCCAGGTGTGCCCAGGTGTGTCTCTCACCTCAGTTTCGGATCCTTTTTGAGCAGCCCGGCCAGCAGGGAGCGGCTCTCGGGCCCCAGGGAGCGCGGGAGGTGAATGTGCCAGGTGTGTGTGGGTACCCCAGGTGTGCCCAGGTGTGCCCAGGTGTGTCTCTCACCTCTGTTTCGGATCCTTTTTGAGCAGCCCGGCCAGCAGGGAGCGGCTCTCGGGCCCCAGGGAGCGGGGGAACCTGAGCTCCTCGAGCAGGATGAGCTCGAAGAGGCGCTCGTGGTCCTGTACAGGTGTGTGTGTACCTGTGCCCAGGTGTGCCCAGGGGTGTCTCTCACCTCTGTTTAGGATCCTTTTTGAGCAGCCCGGCCAGCAGGGAGCGGCTCTCGGGCCCCAGGGAGCGGGGGAACCTGAGCTCCTCGAGCAGGATGAGCTCGAAGAGGCGCTCGTGGTCGTGGCTGTAGAACGGGAGGCGCCCGCAGAGCATCTCGTACATCACCACGCCCAGCCCCCACCAGTCCACCGCCCGCCCGTAGTCGTTGTCTTCCAGGACCTGTGGGAAGACACGGCCAGGGTCACCTGACAGGACCTACAGGGGTGAAGTCAGGGGTGTGACCTGCCAGGACCTGCGGGAGACACGGCACGAGTCACCTGACAGGACCTACAGGGGTAAAGTCAGGGGTGTGACCTGCCAGGACCTGCGGGGGTGAAGGTCAGGGTGTGACCTGCCAGGACCTGTGGGGGTAAAGGTGTGACAGTCACCTGCCAGGACCTGTGGGGATAAAGGTGTAACAGTCACCTGCCAGGACCTAAAGGGGTGAAGTCAGCAGTGTGACCTGCCAGGACCTGTGGGGGTAAAGGTGTGACAGTCACCTGCCAGGACCTAAAAGGGTGAAGTCAGTGGTGTGACCTGCCAGGACCTGTGGGGGTAAAGGTGTGACAGTCACCTGCCAGGACCTGTGGGGATAAAGGTGTAACAGTGACCTGCCAGGACCTGTGGGGATAAAGGTGTAACAGTGACCTGCCAGGACCTGTGGGGATAAAGGTGTAACAGTGACCTGCCAGGACCTGTGGGGATAAAGGTGTAACAGTGACCTGCCAGGACCTGTGGGGATAAAGGTGTAACAGTGACCTGCCAGGACCTGTGGGAAGACACGGCACGGGTCACCTGACAGGACCTAAAGGGGTGAAGTCCGGGGTGTGACCTGCCAGGACCTGTGGGAAGACACGGCACAGGTCACCTGACAGGACCTACAGGGGTGAAGGTGTGAGGGTCACCTGCCAGGACCTGTGGGGGTGAAGGCAGCAGTGTGACCTGCCAGGACCTGCAGGGACAAAGTCATGGGTGTGTCCTGCTAGGACCTGTGGGGACAAAGGCATGGCTGTGACCTGACAGGACCTGTGGGGACACAGGGCACGAGTCACCTGACAGGACCTAAAGGGGTAAAGTCAGGGCTGTGACCTGCCAGGACCTGTGGGGGTGAAGGTGTGGGGGTCACCTGACAGGACCTAAAGGGTGTAAAGGTCACGATTCAGCCCAAAATCCCAGGAATTGGACCCAAAATCACAGGTATCAGACCCAAAATCCCGCAAAATCAGCCCAAAATCACGGGAATTCAGCCCAAAATCCCACAAAATCACCCCAAAATCCCGGGAATTCAGCCCAAAAATCCCAGAATTCAGCCCCAAAATCCCGGGAATCAGACCCAAAATCACAGGAATTGAACCCAAAATCCCAGGAATCAGACCCAAAATCCCGGGAATTCAGCCCCAAAATCCCAGGAATCGGACCCAAAATCCCAGGAATTTGATCCAAAATCTTGGGAATTGGCCACAAACCCCATAAAATCAGCCCTAAAATCCCACTAAATCGGCCCCAAAATCCCAGGAATCAGACCCAAAATCCCAGGAATTTTTCCCAAAATCCCAGAAATTCGACCCAAAATCCTGGGAATGTCCCAAAATCCCAGAATTCAGCCTAAAATCCCATAAAATCAGACCCAAAATCCACGGAATTTTGTGCAAAATCCCAGGAATCTGCCCCAAAACGCCGGGAATGTCCCAAAAGCGCGGGAATTGGGCCCAAGAGCACCTTGATGTCGCGGTAGACGACGTCCCGCGAGTGCAGGTACTCGAGGGCCGAGACGATCTCGGCGCCGTAGAAACGAGCGCGCTCCTCGGAGAACACGCGCTCCCGGGAGAGGTGGAAAAACAGCTGGGAAAAATGGGGCAAAAAACGGGGAAAATGGGAAAAGTGGGGTAAAAAATGGGGAAAATGGGGAAAATGGGCAAAAATGGGGAAAATGGGGAAAAATATAGGGGGAAAAATGGGAAAAAACGGGAAGGAAATGGGGGAAAAATGGGGAAAATGGGGAACACGCGCTCCCGGGACAGGTGGAAAAACAGCTGGGAAAAATGGGGCAAAAAGCGGGGAAATTGGGAAAATGGGGAAAATGGGGAAAAATATAGGGGGAAAAATGGGGGGAAAATACAGGGGAAAATGGGGGAAAAATACAGGGGAAAATTCCCAGAACCTCGGGGATTTTTTTGGGATTTGGGGAGGGAATTCCATGAATTCCAGGGGGGAACTCCTGGATTTTGGGGATTTGGGGAGGGAATTTGGGGAATTTTGGGGGGGAATTTCCGGATTTTGGGAATTTGGGGAGGGAATTCCTGGAATTTCAGGGGGAATTCCCAGATTTTGGGTATTTGGGGAGGGAATTCCCCGAATTTTGGGAATTTGAGGAGGGAATTCCTGGATTTTCGCGGGGGAACTCGCGGATTTTGTTGAGGGAATTCCCAGAATTTCGGGGGGAATTCCCGGATTTTTGGGGATTTGGGGAGGGAATTCCCAGAATCTCGGGGATTTTTTGGGATTTGGGGAGGGAATTCCCGGAATTTCGGGGATTTTTGGGGCTCTGGGGAGGGAATTTGGGGAATTTCAGGGGGGAACTCCCGGGTTTTGGGATCTGGGGAGGGAATTCCTGGAATTTCAGGGATTTTTGGAGATCTAGGGAGGGAATTTCCAGATTTTGGAGGATTTGGGGAGGGAATTCCCAGAACCTCGGGGATTTTTGGGGATTTGGGGAGGGAATTCCCAGAACCTCGAGGATTTTTGGGGATTTGGGGAGGGAATTCCCAGGATTTGGGGGCTCTGGGGAGGGAATTGGGGGTGGGCACGCACGGTCAGGAAGGGGTGCCGGGAGCTCCGCAGCACGCGGCTCTCGGTCACCGTGTGCGCCACCTCGTCCTGCGGGGACAGCAGCCACCCAAAAACGACATTTCTCACCCCAAAATGGCCCAAAAGTGTCATTTCCCATCCCAAAACTGCCATTTCTCACCCCAAAATGGCCCAAAATGTGATTGTTCCGCCCCAAAATGTCCCCAAAATGCCATTTTTCAGCCCAAACTACCCCAAAAATGCCATTTTTTCAGCCCAAACTCCCCCAAAAATGCCATTTTCTCACCCCAAAGTGGCCCAAAAATGCCATTTCCCATCCCAAAACTGCCATTTATCACCCCAAAATGGCCCAAAAATGCCATTTTTCAGCCCAAAACGTCCCAAAATGTGATTTTTCGTCCCAAACTATCCCCAAAATGCCATTTTTCATCCCAAACTCCCCCAACAATGCCATTTTCTCAACCCAAAGTGTCCCAAAAATGCCATTTTTCAGCCCAAAACGTCCCAAAATGTGATT